AACTCCCCGCAGACCGGGGGGGTCGCGTCATCAGCTAGCCGCAGGACGTCTCACCGCACCCCGAAGCGAACGAGTGCACCCGAGGACGAGGGATACGAGACGAAGAACGTTAAGCCTGTTCCCCAGCGTTTCAGCCGTGCTGCCGGCGGGAAGGACGGCGGCGGCGGCGACAGTGATGAGGCGGAGGGAGAGTCCTCGCCGGGCACCGGGGGTAGTAGTGAGGGCGGAGGCGGCAAGGGGAAGGAGCCGGAGAGGAGAATTGCTGGGCCTGAGGTTAAAAAATCTGGCAAAGGTGTGTGCTCGAAGGATGTAGTCGTGACTATGATTGTGCGCCCTTCTGAGAGGAATTGTGAGAGGACTGAAAATATGTTCACACGTATTTCTGTTTTCATGCGCCCTCTGTGAAGAAGGGTGTAAGTTTTGGATCCTGTACGTCATTAGGCACCTGCACATCGTGATGTTCCCTCAACCATGTACACTTGTGGCATACGTCGTGTCCGTTTCCCAATAAGTTTGCAGTACGTGTGCTTGACTGGCTGTGTTTTCTTCGCGGCGGCAATGGTTGAGATATGCATGCAGCATGCCGCAGAAAAAAAATGCAGCGAACAGACTGAAAACTTCAATTACTTGTTTGCAAACGTTAGCTTCGAATCGAATGCAGGATGTGGGATCCGCAATGCCATTTTCTGTACAAGACAAATTACAGAGCAGTGCTGTACTTCGGTGGGGCGCCTCCCGTGAAGTGAGTGGCGACCCAACCCCTTCAAGTCGTGGCTAATGTACGACGTCCATCACCCTAACTCTTGTACCCCAACTCTCGTTTGCCTTGCATTCCTGATCAGAGACAGGCCCGCGGTGGTGGACTCAGCAGGGAGAGAGGGAGCTTCTGTGGCGGCTCATACCGAAGCACTTAGCGTCCAAGCACTCGGCCAAGAAGGCTAAGGATGAGGAGTGGTGGAAATACGCACAGGCCCTCTCGCAGAAGGTCGAGATGACAATACGGGTCAAGGAAGTGCAAAAGAACGGCAGCCTGGAACTCGTCACGAAGGTCACAGTCGACAGGGGAGGAAGATGGAGGTGGGTAGACGCTGCGGATATTGTTCTTGTATTTCGGATTGCGGTTCGATCTTCATCAAGCTTAACTCGCCCAACTTGCTTAGGATCACGTATGCGGCGAGTAGGATAATTCTTTAGCATCCGGGACAATGACAAGCGTTACCCTTTTTTTGTTGACGGTACTTATGAAGCAAAATAAAGCGTTGTGGGGGGCGGGGGCGGGGGCAGAAGGTATGTATAGAAGAGGGTGGGCTGTAAAGAAGAAGGCCTCCGCGCCAGGAACGAATGCAGATTTTATGAAACGGTTGCGAAACAACCCATCACCTAACCACTTTGAAATGTAGCTGTGTGTGAACCCGTTGTCGTCTAGTCGCACAAACGGCGCCCATTTCACAATGCCGCCTAACGA